AACTCTGCGAGACACGCTGTGGCTGAGAAGTCTGTGGAGGTGCACTCCTCCCAAGTCTAAGGCAATCCCTCACCACATGGCGTGTGTCACCACACTCAAAACAAGCTCTGTAAGGACATGTCGGATGTGACTGGCTCGGGACAAGTCTGCTGGACTGACCTTTGAAAGCACCTCGCGCAGGAGGCACACTAGATACTAGAGGTGCATAATAAGGCTCCTGAGGCCTAGGAGGAGCTAGAATACCACTGGCTGCTGGAAGAACTGAATGAACGGGGCGACTCATATAACCCCTACCATGACGAACTGCAGCTGGAGCACGAGCACCAAAATAATGGCCCAACTCTCGAGACCTCTTGGCCTCCCTCTCCTCTATGTCCCTAGCATACATACCCTCTATCCTTCTAGCAATGCTCACCACCTGCTGATAAGAAATATCCATATCCAACTCATGAGCCATGCTAGACCTGATGCTGGGAATAAGCCCCTCAATAAACTGGCGAACCCTCTCGCGAACAGTAGAAATCAAGGCTGGGGCATGTCTAGCCAAACTAGTGTAACAGACAGCATACTCCGAGACAGTCATAGTACCCTAGCGTAAATGCTCAAACTCCGCGCGCCATGCGTCTCTGAGACTCTGAGGAACATACTCTCTCGGGAACATATCTGAAAATTGAGTCCAAGTCAGGGAAGCTACCTCACCGGACTGTCTAACTCATAGGTACGCCACCACTCATAGGCGGCTCCTTGAAGCTGGAAGGTAGTGAAGGAAACCCCGCTCGATCCGTATATACCCATGGTACGGAGGATACAATATCACTCATCTAGAAATCCTAGAGCATCATCCAATGCTAGACCACTGAATATATGAGGATTGTACTTCTTGAACCTCTCAAGCCTCATCTGCTCATCCTCGAAAGTTGCAGCCCTGTCCTCGGACTGATCTGGGGCTGTAGGTTATACAAGAATAATCTCTGGGACTTGATCAACATGCACTCGTTGCTCAGGAGTGAGGGCGGCGGGAGTCTGTGCTCCTCTCCCAGCATGAGATGTAGTTGCAGCAAGGGGAAACAAGCCTGCCTGAGCCAGAGTTATGTACATGCTCATGAACTACGCAAGAGTCTCCTAGAGAGCTGGAGTAGTAGTAGCAGTAGGCGTATCAGGTGCCTGGACTCCGACTGGAACTGCTGGTGGCACCTCAGTGGCAGCTCGCGCGGGAGCTCTGGCTACACCAAGTGAGCGTCCTCGGCCTCTACCCCAATCACGACCTTTGACGGCTCCAGTAGGGGGCACGAATGCCTTATCATCTCTAGTAGCACGTGTCCTCACATTCTGTGAGAGAATAGAAGACAAAATTTTAGAATTGTGATATCAAAAATCTCGCACGACAAGGAAATCAATGAAGTGGAATTTTCCTAACAGTTACATAACCTCTCATAGATAAGTACAGACGTCTCCGTACCTATCCACGAGACTCTAATAAACCGGCTTGTGATTCATGACTCCTATGAACCTAAAGCTCTAATACCAACTTGTCACGACCCAAGTTCGCCCTCCGTGAATTATCATGATGGCACTAGTCTCTATGACTAGGTAAGCCTAACAATTGCGGAAAAAGAACCAAAATGCGAAAAACTAATAAAACTAAAGATAAACAATATAAAACTGTTGGAGATGCCGCTCGACATATACAATACAAGATCTCAGAAACTAAACAATTCCCAAAATCCAGAATCTCATGAAATCACAAGCTATGAATACTGCATTGTGCTCTAACTCCAAAATGTCTAAATCAAGATAAATACAGAAGGGCTAAACTATTAGAGAGAATGGAAAGGGACTCCTCGGTCTGCGAACGCGACAGATATACCTTGAAGTCTCTGGAGAATCGCCTCGCTTCAAGGGTGGTAGGACTGAGTCGAAGTACCTGGATCTGCACATGAAAAACATGCACAGAAAGGGCATGAGTACACCACAGCGGTACTCAGTAAGTTCCAAGCCTAACCTCGGTCGAGTAGTGACGAAGAAGGTTAGGGCCCTACTGATTATAGCTGAAAAACGAGGTAAAATAGTATAGAATACGACAGTATAATTAAATGCTAACAATAAGAAGTAACACAGGATAATAAGAATTACAATAAATATAACAGAGACAAAATAATCACAAAAGGAATACCGCTCAACATAGAGATAACAACCGGGGATCTCTCAATATCCCGAGGATCTCTTAGTATCCTCAATATGTGTGCTGGGGATCTCTCAGTATCCTGAGGACCTCTTAGTATCCTCAATATATATGCTGGGGATCTCTCGGTATCCCAAGGATCTCTTAGTATCCTCAATATACATGCTGGGGATCTCTCGGTATCCCGCACTACAATCCAAATCAATATATGTGCTGGGGATCTCTCGGTATACTACACTACAGTCCAAATTAATATATGTGCATGGGATCTCCCAAGATACCCTCCCGTAGTCCCAAAGTAAACACACAGTAGCAACACGAAGAATATTCAATTAAATTCAATTTCATATTAAGGTAAAACAAGTATTCCTAACCTAGCATGCTACACATAATCCAAATAAGGCAGTTTGAACAAGTAAAGCAATTAAGTCAATTAGACATGCTTCCCTAAGCTAATAACAAGCTTAAATTGCAAGTAGTATAAACAGGAAAGGAAACATAATTAAAGTTACTTAATGAAAACAAAATTTTCAACAATTAGCACGAGTACTCACTCGTCACCTCACGTACAAGGCATTTCACATATCAACAATACCAAATCCTAAGGGGAGTTCCCCCACACAAGGTTAGACAAGCCACTTACCTCGAACCGGTTCAAAATCAACCCAAAATCACGTTCTTGCCACGAGTTCTCGACTCCAAATGGCTCAAATACGCAAACTCCTTCGGAAAATCTTTCCAAAATTCATCTCCTACCGAGCTCCCAATTCAATTTTGTGATATGAACTCAAAACCCTCGATTTTGAAATTTATATTGCCCAGACGCGTTCTTCTTCACGAACGCGATGCACAAAAATCCACTAGCCAGTTTTCCTCTTTCGCGAATGTGAGGGTCCACTCGCGAACACATAGCTTATACTGGCGGACCCTACGCGAACGCGAGGACCATGTCGCGAGCGTGAAGACCAACTAGTCCATACCTTCGCGAACGCGGGACATCATCGCGAACGCGAAGCACGATTCAGCTGCTTCACCCAGATGCTCTATGCGAACACGAGCCCCTCTTGGGAACGCGATGAAGGTTTTCTCTGCCACACAACAACAGAAAATCTACAATCTTTCTAAGTCCAAAAATGACCCGTTAAGCATCCGAAACACACCCGAGGCCTCTGGAACCTCAACCAAACATGCCAATCAATCCTAAAACATCATTCAAACTTGTTCCAACCTTCGGAACACTCAAACAACATCAAAACACCAATTTAACATCGGATTCAAGCCTAAGAACTCCCAAAACTCTCAAATCACGCTTTCGATCAAAAAGTCTATCAAACCTCGTCCGAATGACCTGAAATTTTGCAAGCACGTCTCATTCAATACTACGGAGCTACTCCAACTTTCGGAATCCCATTCCGACCCCGATATCAAAATCTCACCATTGTACCGAAAACTTCAAAAAATTAACTTTCGGCATTTCAAGCCTAAATAAGCTACAGACCTCCAAAACACAATCCGAACACGTTCCTAAGCCCGAAATCATCCAACGGAGCTAACGGAACTGACAGAATTCTATTCCGAGGCCGTCTTCAAACAACTCCAACTATGGTCCAAATTCTATAGCTTAAGCTCTCTTTTAGGGACTAAGTGTTCCAAAACACTTCGAAACTCAAAACCAAACATCCCGGCAAATCAAAATAGCAGAAACAAATACGGGGAAAGCAATTAATAGGGGATCAGGGCGTATATTCTTAAAGTGACCGGCCAAGTCATTAAATATAGATTAACTAATAATTCAAATAAAAGTGAAATCATTGCGGGACATCCGATATCTATGCTGAAACTGGCGATCACTAAAGCGGGGATTATCTGAAAAATAATCGAGAAATAAATTATTATCATCACCTTCACGATCTCGATTGATTACCAAATGACCTGGAACGAAGCCAACTCTGATAGGATCATTATTTCGATTTTCTTGCAAACATTGCAACACATAATTATTCATCTGAATTGCTTGCTTGAATATTTCACTCAATACTATAATAATTTTGGTATATCTGGAAATGACATATCTCCCAACTAAGTTATTATGCTATTTACCGTAGTTACAATTTTTATATATTTTAATTTAATGTATTTTTGATTTTTATGTATTTCCAATTTTAATGTATTTTTAATTTTCACTTTTCAATTTTAGCAACATCTAATATTTTATATTCGTACCTTTCAATTTTAGCAAAATCTAATATTTTATATTTGCACCATTCATTTTTTGATATGATTATATATTTTTTGTACAATTATAACTTATAATAAAATTAACTTACAGTTTTACATAAAAATAATAAATGCATGAAAATTAATTTATCATAATTATACGCCAAAGTTAAGATGTAAAATTAATATTATAAAGATATTACATAAACATAATTAAGTATATATAAAGAGATAAACTAAAAGAGTTAAATAATAAAATAATAATAAACAAAGCATGAATAGTAATGGAGGAGATGAATAGTGTACCCATATTTGAGGGAACACTATTCATTCCCCATTTTGGGAGAAAAAATGGGAGAAGGTCGGAGCTTCATTACCCTAAAAATTGCCCCCATCATAGAAAATGGAGTAAGGTTGGAAATGGCCAAGGCAGGAATAATACTAGTACCCACTTTGGACCCTTGTCATTGTCACTAACCAACCTACAATTTTTTACTGGCAAAATTTGTGACCACGTAGGTCTTTGGACCGTCCAAATTCTAGTCATAACTTTAAATTCTTAAAATTGGTTACTACCACGTAATTGTGGCTCTTAAAATTCTGCTATTCCAACTAGTGAAATACACCATATATTCTTGTCAAACACCTAAGAAGTACAAATAGCACAAAAACTAGGGAATTTGTTGCTTCTTTATATACACAGTATTTCCTTTAAAAACATAGTAAAATATTACAAAACAAGAAGTAGAAAAATGGTGATGTCTACATTGCTGAAATTTCTATATCCTCCACCACCATCTCTATTCATTACTACAATGTCTGTAATAAGTGTTGCTTCCTTAGCAAATGCTGGATTTTCTGAAATTAAAGGAAAACATATGCAGTATTCTAAGTTCTTTGTATCAAGTAAAAGTGAAAATGAGAAGAAGGCAAGAATTGAGAGTAAAAAAGGCATGCTTTTGTTGTATAGTCCTGCATTTCTTGCTGGTCTTGCTTCTTTTGCCATTTTCCCAAATGAGGATCTGAGATTTGCTTTGGTTTCTTCTGCTTTGACCATACATTTCTTCAAGAGAGTCTTAGAGGTATTGTTCAAAAAGTTTCTTTTAATATTATTTTTGATTTTTTTAATTTGCTCTCTTCATTTAGGTGTTTGAATGGATTTTGATATGAAAGTTCTTTATATTGTCACTACATAAAAGCCATTAAACTCTAATGGGTCATTTGGTAGGACGTATTAAGGAAAATAATATACTCTCCCGTTTCAATTTAAATGATATAGTTTGAGTTGATACATAGTTTAAGAAAAAAAAAAAAGGATTTTTGAAATATGTGGCCTTAAAAGTTTAAGGGGTAAAAGCTTTGAGAGGTCATGATATTTGTGTGGCCATAAAACTTCTCATTAAGGGTAAAGCGAGTAGAATTCAAAGTTTAAAGTAAATTGTTTCTAAATATAAAAATGTGACATTTTTTTGGAATAGACTAATAAGGAAGTTGTGTCATCTAAATTAAACAGAAGGAGTATATATTAGCTTTGATATTATTAATCCCTTGTATTGTAGTGTTTTTCAACTTATACATAACTAATACATGTATAGTTATACACCTTATTTGGTATTATTCTATGTAAAACTAATACATAGCAAACTTTGACACTAGTAATACCATAATTTTTAATACATGGATAAGTATGTATGCACCTCTATGCAATGCATGCATGTTATTTTTAATATACCAAATTATTAAACAGCGAATAAGAAATAATCGCAGCATTACTTATCCCAACGTTACTAATACACCCTACCAAATGACCCCTTACAATTTGGGAACAAACAAGGTCCACCATGTGGTTTGGTATTGTGAATGAATTTAGCCTTTTTAACTTTTGAAAAATTTAGACTAAGTTTAATTTTCACGTAGTCCGAGGTGAATTTATGATTTAGAGTAAGTGGATTAAGAATACGTGTAATCTTATTATATGTATATATACTTCGACCGAAAGGATGGTACAATTGATCAACAGAACCTGCTCTAAGTTTGCAACTGTGTGCAGTTGTTATAATAGCATTTTCAAGATTAAAGCTTTAAATTATCTTGAACAAATTCTAATATCTTTGGTTTGTTGATACTAGGTCCTATTTGTTCACAAATACAGTGGTTCAATGGATGTTGAGGCTACAACAGTAATATCATTTAGTTATTTCCTCTCAACTGTTACCATGATTTATGGTCAACACCTTAGTCAAGGTTTGCCAGAGCCATCCATTGATCTCAAATATGGTGGATTCATAATATTTTTGGTTGGTATAATAGGCAATTTTTGCCATCATTATTTGCTCTCAAATTTGAGAAACAAGGGTGAAAAAGAGTATAAAATTCCTCAGGGTGGCCTATTCAATTTTGTCATATGCCCACATTACCTCTTTGAGATTCTTGTTTTTGTTGGAGTTTCTTGCATTTCTCAAACATTATATTCAATTTCCTTCACTTTGGGCACAATGTTTTACTTGATGGGGAGGAGCATTGCTACAAGAAGATGGTACCAATCCAAGTTTGATGATTTTCCTAAGGATATCAAGGCACTCATTCCTTATATATTTTAGTCTACTTTATAGGGACCATTAATTTTTGTTAATGTACCTATGTCAAATAAGCATATGATTATTGTTTTTTTTGTGTGCAGATCCTTCAAAATGCATTGCATCTTAATATAAATTGAATGATTTTGTGACGGATACTTCATACTCATTATTCAATATATACTTGTACTGGATTTATGTTACTTAAATATTAGATGTTATAATAATTTATATGAGTTAGCATAAATAAAGAAACAAGAATTTATATATCCGATAACAATTTGTTTGCTTGTTTGAGAGTAAGGCATAATTGTTGTTGTAATGAATTATGAAAAGATTGACTTTGAACGAATGCGAGAATTATTTAGCCGTTATAACCACAATGAAAATACGAGCAGAATCGTTTCTTAAATCATCTTAATCAACTATTATATGTCAACTTATTTGATATTCTCTGACTCCCAAATTAACTATCTCAATCTTAATTTGGCTTCGGAAAAAAAAAAGAATCTAATTTTGGGTTATTGTCACAGATTTATGCGCACTTTTCTCAAACCAAAGATTAATCTTTATATCCTTAATAGTTGTCAATATTCTACTATCAAAATAGTATTTTGTATCACACCTTATTTTATTATTTTAAAGAATGTTCAGTTTTTACAAAAAACAAAAATAGCTTTATCTTGTTATAAATATATTATATTATGGATGCTTATTTGGTACTCCGTTGTAATATCCATATGGGATTCCGCCGTAAATATGTTTATCTATTTAGTACTCTATTTGAAATAAGCCTCCTAAAGAAACTTATCCTTTCGATACTCCGTTATGGATAAATATTATCCCCAGTGAAAGATTATCCATACCTAGTACAATAAGCTTATTCTTTCAGTACTCCGTTATGGATAAACATTACCCTCGGTAGAAAATTATTTATATCTGATACAACAACAACTTACACAGCAGCTTGCAGTAACAACTTACATAGCATCTTCATTTCTTCTATAAATAGAGGAGATTTCGGTTCATTATGTATATAAGTTTGAAGTCGAATAACATATCAGTTTCTCTCTATACTTATCTTTACTTTACAATCTTTATTTTATAACACGTTATCAGCACAAGACTCTGCCATCTCGAGCAAATACTTTGAAATTATCTGAGAATATGGATAATCCTCAAATTATATTTGGATCAAAGACAAATCATGAAAATATTTGTGTTATTGATAGTGGAACAACACATGCCATATTCAAGAATCAGGAATACTTTTCTTATTTACATAAGGAAAAAGCAAATGTTTCAACAATTTCTGGTAATATAAGTTTGATTGAAGGCTCCGGAAGAGCCATTATATTTCTGTCTAAGGGAACAAAACTTATTATAGACAATGTATTGTTCTCCTCCAAGCCTCGAAGAAACTTGTTGAGTTTTATAGATATCCGTCGAAATGGGTATCATGTTGAGACAATAGATGAAATGAACGTGGAATATCTTTGTATTACAAAGAATATTTCTGGCCAAAAATGCATTGTAGAAAAGTTACCAACTTTATCTTCTGGCTTATACTATTCAAAAATTAGTACAATTGAAGCACACTATATCGTAAATCAGAAGTTTACGGATTCAAATACTTTTGTGGTTTGGATGGCCGTTTGGGCCATCCTGGATCAATAATAATGAGACAAATTACTGAAAATTCGAGTGGGCATCCATTAAAGAATCTGAAGATTCTTACAAATGACGAATTTTCTTGTGATGCTTGTTAAGGCAAAATGATCACTAGACCATCGCCAATGAAGGTTGGCATTGAATCCCCTGCTTTTTTAGAGCGTATACATGAGGATATATGTGGACCTATTCACCCACCAAGTGGGTTGTTTAGATATTTTATGGTCCTAATAGATGCATCTTCAAGATGGTCTCATGTGTGCCTACTTTCATCTCGCAACCTGGCGTTTGAAAAGCTATTAGCCCAAATAGTTCGGTTAAGGGCACAATTCCCAAATTATCCTATAAAGGCTATTCGCCTTGATAATATAAGAGAATTCTCATCTCAAGCTTTTGATGATTATTGTCTATCAGTTGGGATAAAAGTTGAACATCCTGTAGCTTATGTTCATACTCAAAATGGTCTTGCAGAGTCATTTATTAAACGCTTGCAATTGATAGCAAGACCACTACTTATGAAAACAAAATTGCCTACTTCTGTTTGGGGCCATGCTATCTTGCATGCAATATCACTTATCCGTCTAAGACCGACACATTACAATAAATATTCTCCGTCATAATTAGTTTTTGGTCATGAACCAAATATTTCCCATCTACGAATTTTTGGATGTGTTGTATATGTGCTAGTAGCACCACTACAGCGTAGTAAGATGGGGTCACAGAGAAGGATAGGAATATATGTTGGGTTTGAACCACCCTCTATTATTCGCTAGCCTGAACTATTGACAGAAGATTTATTTACTGCTCGATTTGCAGATTCCGGTTTGATGAAAATTTTTTCCCACAATTAGGGGGAGAGAAAAAGGTAATAAAAACAGAAATTGTGTGAAAAGTTTCATCATTATCTCACTTTGATCCACGTACCCCTATATGTAATCAGGAGGTCTAGAAGATCATCCATTTGCAAAATAAAGCAAATCAAATGCCAGACATATTTACTGATTTGAAAAGGATAACTAAGTCACATATCCCTGCAGAGAATGTGCCTATCCGAATTGATGTCCTAGTAGGATCATCTACTAGCATGAGAGCTAGTAAACCTAAAGCACGCCTGAAGCGTGGTAGGCCTTTGGGTTCTAAGGATCGAAATCCTCGAAAAAGAAAATCATCAATTGATCAAAGCGATACTATGAAGGGATCTCCTGAAGAGACCCAAGATCTGATTAGTTCTGAGATTTCTGAAGAAATCAATAACCTGAAGCTCAAGTGAGTGAGGAACTTTTAATAAGTTCTACCGGTGATGGAATTAATTTAAATCGATTTGAAATAGTGATGAATAATATTTTTGCATATAATGTTGCACTTAATATTATGCAAGATAGTGAGGATCTTGAACCCCGATCTATCGAAGAATGTCGACAAAGATCTGATTTGCCAAAATGGCAAGAGGCAATTCAATTGGAATTGAAGTCACTTGCTAAAAAAAGGTCTTTGGACCAGTAGTCCACACACATGCTGGTATAAAGCTAGTTAGTCATAAATGGGTTTTTGTGCGAAAAAGGAATGATAAAAATGAAGTTGAAAGATACAAAGCTCGCCTTGTTGCACAAGGATTCTCACAACGACCTGGAGTCGATTTTGATGAAACATATTCACCTGTTATGGATGCCATAACATTTCGATATCTCATCAGTTTAGCACCACATGAAAAGCTTGAAATATATCTAATGGATGTAGTTACAACTTATCTGTACGGTGCACTTGATAATGAAATTTATATGAAAATCCCTAAAGGATTTAAAATGCCTGAAGCAAATTCAAAATCTGAGGAAATGTATTCAATCAGATTACAAAGATCTTTGTACGACTTAAAGCAATCTGGGTGCATGTGATATAATTGCCTTAGTGAATATTTGTTGAAAGAAGGTTACATAAATGATGTTATTTGTCCATGTATTTTTATAAAGAAAATGACATCAGAATTTGTTATAATTGCAGTTTATGTTGATGACATAAATCTTGTTGGAACTTCAGAAGAGATCCAAAAGGCAATTGAATATCTTAAGAAAGAATTTGAGATGAAAGATCTAGGAAAGACAAAAATTTGTCTTTGTCTGCAAATTGAATATTTAGAAGACGAGATCTTTATCCATCAATATGCCTATACAGAAAGGGTCTTAAAACGCTTTTACATGGACAAAGCGCACCCATTAAGTACACAAATGATTGTTCGATCACTTGAAGTGAATAAGGATTTGTTCCGACCTCAAGAAGAGGATGAAGAACTCCTTAGTCCCGAAGTACCCTATCTCAGTGCAATTGGTGCACTAATATATCTTGCTAATGCTACAAGGCCTGACATAGCATTTTCTGTTAATTTAATAGCAAGATATAGTTTTTCTCCTACACGGAGACATGGAAACGGGATTAAGCATATATTGCGATATTTAAAGGGAACTCTTGATATGGGTTTGTTTTATACTAATAAAGATAGTGCAGATCTTGTTGGTTATGCAGATGCAGGTTATTTATCTGATGCCCTTAAAGCTCGATCTCAAATCGGGTACGTGTTTACATATGGAGGTACTGTCATATCATGGCGCTCCATAAAGCAATCTATTGTTGCTACTTCTTCAAATCATGCCGAGATAATAGCTATTCATGAAGCAAGTAGGGAATGTGTATGGTTGAGATCAATAATTCATTTTATTCGAGAAAAATGTGATTTGGAATGTGAGAAAAGACCCACAATTTTATACGAAGACAATGCTGCATGCATAGCCCAATTGAAGGGAGGGTTTATAAAAGGAGATAGAACGAAGCACATTTCACCAAAATTATTCTACACACATGATCTTCAGAAAAATAGTGACATTGATGTGCAACAAATCCAATCAAGTGATGATCCATCTAATTTATTCACTAATTTTTACCAACTTCAACTTTTGAGAAGATGGTATACAAGATTGGAATGTAGAGACTCAAATATTTGACACAAGGTTTTCATCAGGGGGAGTAAAATAGTGATGCACTCTTTTTTCCTTACTAAGATTTTTTCCCACAGGATTTTCCTTATGAGGTTTTTAATGAGGTACCTAGCAATGCGTATTACTAAAAATGTGTACTCTTTTTCCTTCAATAGAATTTTTCCCATGGGGGTTTTCCTAGTAAGTTTTTAAAGAGGAAAATTATCTTTTAAACATCCAAGGGGGAGTGTTATAAATATATTATATTATGGATGTTTATTTGGTACTCCGTTGTAAATAAGCTTCCTGAAGAAGCTTATCCATATGAGACTCCTCCGTAAATATATTTATCTATTTAGTATTCTATTGGAAATAAGCCTCCTGTAGAAGCTTATCCTTTCGATACTCCGTTATGGATAAATATTACCCCTAGCGGAAGATTATCCATACCAAGTACAATAAACTTATTCTTTCTGTACTCCGTTGTGGATAAACATTACCCTCGATAGAAGATTATCCAT